AAAAAAAAAAAAAAAAGAATTGATCATGGACACTGCCGTAATAAAGAGTGATGAATGATATTGCCACATGATGTATCTCCAGACCTTCTTGCCCCTGTTGCCTCAGCACAACATGGATCAATTTTTTGCTCTGCAGAGGGGAAGCCCTGGGACCCTGGGAACTTGAGGTCCAGAGAGGGAGACCCTTCAGCTGGCTCAGCCTGCCCAACTATGCCAAAGAGTACCATGATCCGGGAAGACTGGTTTTCTCTTGTCTCAGCCAGCCTCAATGTCCTTCCGCCTACTCCTGGTTTGACTTTTGAGGACCAAGGGTTCCTGTTGAGGTTTTCTGCACTGTGCACCATTGTCCTCTTACTTACCTCAATAAATCTGTAAACATGTCCTACTGCTATTGCCTTTTTATTATTATTATTATTATTGGTACCTCCATGTGCCGACAAGGCTAGGTGGAGAGAAAGTGAGTGACAAGGGCAGGTTTTCACTCATTGATACTCTCCACTTGGCACACTCCTAAGGTTTGACTTAGGAGATATGAGATGGGATGTAGGATTTAGACTAGAGTTAACAATCCCAAGTGTGGCCGGGGGCTTGAGTTTAGGAGAGAAAGGAACTGTTACATTGAGTTGGCAAGGGAACGTTTCAGTCATGGCTTTGGAAGAGGGGATGATGATAGGGGTGGACTTAGAGATGGAGGCAGAGGGTAAAGCCCTTTAGGAAGGCAGGAGTGCCCTGAGCTTAGCTGGTGAGAGGACATGAGCTGAATTTAGGGAGATGATTTGGAGCAGAGGTGAGAGTGAAGTGGATGAGGAATAGCTGCCCTTGGAATGCTCTTGGGGCATGGCAGGCAAGTGGTCAATTTGGTCTTTGGGGATTATGCTGAGTAGCAGTTCCTGCGGTGATGTGCTCAGCGCACATTTGCATCACTACCTGTGAGCATGTGTTACTTTGTCCTCAGTCTTCAGGTACACCCATACAGGAACTCCCCCAAAGGCCATGGTAGAAAGTGGGGAGTCACTTGGTCCCATTCCTTCAGTTGAAATTGATATCATTGTGACTGGAGCTGAGATGGAAACCAAGCTATCAGGTACCTTGATGGCCTCTGCCAGTGGAAGACATTCTTGGGGACTGAAGAGTCAGTTTTGGCAATCATTTCTGGCAGAGGCCCTTATTTCTGTCTTGCCCCCTGCCTTAATTCTGACCCAGGAACCATCTGAAACCTCCCATTTACTCCCTTGAAGATTCCCACCCTACCACAACCCTTCTCTGGCCAGTTCCATCCAACTGTGTCCCTTTTCCTTTAGTGAGAAATGAACACATTTTTTCCTCAACTTGGCCAAAGTTCCCTCCTTTGCTGAGCTCACTTTTTACTTTATTTTATTTATTTTTTGAGACAGAGTCTCAAGCTGTTGCCCTGGGTAGGGTGCCATGGCATCATCATAACTCATAGCAACCTCCAACTTTGGGCTCAAGTGATCTTCTTGCCTCAGTTTTTCTATTTTTAGTAGAGACAGGGTCTCTTGCTCAAGCTGGTCTCAAACTTGTGAGCTCAAGCAATCCACCCACCTCGGCCTCCCTGAGTGCTGGGAATTACAAGCCACTGCATCTGACCCTAGCTCACTATTTTTAGTGAAGTTGTCTTGTTGATTGGTGCCTTGACATTGATAGAACTCTCCTTAACAAACTGCTAGGCAGCTTCCCATCAGCTGTTAGGAGCCATACCTACAGCACACCCCTTCCCCCCTTTTGGTCTGCCTGTCTCTCCTTCTTTCTCATGTCATAGTCTTCCTGACTTACTACCTCAGTCCTACAGCTGGGGAGGTGTCCCTGATGCCTTGTTTAATCTGTGTCTTATAGGAGGGGACAGCAATGGTACCCTAAGAAAGAAGGGAAGAGGTGAGATTGTCATGGAGTGGCAGATGGGAGTCTCAGGGCTATAGGAGCAGGATACTCATCATGCATGGCTCAGCCCACCATCACCAAAATCTAACTAGTAAGCCAGACTGGCTGATCGTGGAGGGGTCCCTCCTTTCTTGCTGTTTCTGTGCATTCTAGTGTTTTGGCTGGATGTGAAGGTCAGTGAATTACTGTGTTGGAAGCTGTTGGCATAGCACTTGGCTCACAATAAGCACTCAAAAAAGAACAGCTCTTCTCAGTTTTAACTTAGTCACTTTTGAATTCTAAGTGATCTTATCACTGGCCCAGCCTCTTAGGCCTTCCTTCCCCTGTCCTCACCACCCTCACCCCACCCAACCCTCAGCCTCTAGCCTGGACTTCCTGTTCTCCAGAGGAGACCTGCCAGGCCTTGCTCACTGCCTATGACCTGCCTGTCCACCCTTGCATCCAAGCAGCTGGGGCCCCAACCACTCTACCATTTAAGGTTCCTGAACATGTTCTCTGGCCAGTGTGTCTGGAATGCACCCTCCACTTGCGACTCAGCAGGCTCAGCTGTGTCACTTCCTTCAGGAAGCCCTTGTTGGCTAAATCTCCACCCAGACTGGATTCACCACCTCTCCATGCATTCCTATCAAGCATAAATTATGCACACCACAATTCTAGGAAGTGGTAAACAAATCAGGCAAAAGAGCAAGTCCCTGCTGAGTGTTCATGTTTTAGAGGACAGGGACTAGGACAATAAAGTGCTCAAGTAGGTGGTGTGCTAGAGAAGTGCTCAGGGGAAAATGACAAAGCAGGGACACCAGACAGGACGGCTGGGTGGCAGCAGGGGAAGCAGGGGGAGTGCCAGTTTAAAGCAAGTAACCAGAAAGGCCACACCTGGGAAGTGTGACCGGAGTAAAGTGAGGAGCCCTCACCTTTCTGCTTACCGCAGCCTGTTCAATCCCTGTCATAGCAGGGACCAGGGATGGTAGGAAGCTTCCTCCTGGATACCAGGCCAGTGAACTGAGAGATGACAGGCGTCTGAGGCCACTGCAGTGCTGCTCCTGATTAGGAACACCTGCTGTGCTGTGGCTAGGGGCAGCCGAGTTAAGCCAGGATGAACTGGTGAGCACCAGGTGGCTGCGTCTAGAGGTCAGGCTCTGTACCTACCAGGTCCCCATCCCTGGGCTCCCAAGCACAGCTCAGTGATCTAGGGAAGTGTCACCCAAGGGTAGACATTGATGGGTCTAACCCAGCACCTTGGTCCATGACCAATAACAGAGATAACCAAGCCAGGCAGTTTATCTTCTTGAGATGTTCTGATTATATCAAGGTGCTTGGTGATTGGTTGTAGGAACAGAATCAGGAAGACAGAATAATTAAATCTTAACAGCAGTGCCCAAGGACACTGAGTCCTGAGCTCCTGTTGTGGGAAAGAAAACCATTTCTACAACTCTTATAGCTGGAGAATGATATTCTAATTTAGAAACTACATTTGTGCTCCACAAGTCCTGACTGGGAGCAGCACTCTGACTTGGCATGAGGCTCAGAGGTTCAATTTTCCCTGAGACAAGAGCCTCAAGCTGTTGCCATGGGTAGAGTGCTAGAGTGCTGTGGCATCACAGCTCACAGCAACCTCCAACTCTTGGGCTTAAGCAATTCTCTTGCCTCAGCCTCCCAAGTAGCTGGGATTACAGGTGCCTGCCACAACGCCCAGCTATTTTTTGGTTGCAGTTGTCATTGTTTGGCAGGCCAGGGCTGGATTCGAACCTGCCAGCTCAGGTGTATGTGGCTGGTACCTTAGCTGCTTGAGCCTCGGGTGCCAAGCCTTTCCCTGAGTTTTTATAAGGCGAGGCCACTGGACCAAGAATCTTCCTTCTTTTTTCTTTTTTCATGAAACACTTTAAATTCACCACTACTATCCCCATTACTAAAGTGAACAAAACGAGTCTCTGCTCATTACAGTAGAAAGCTCACCAGCATGACAGGGGAAGGTGCTTAGTGACCTTTGGGGATGAAGGAGGAGGTGGCAGTGGTCTTTACAACATGCACCAGGATTAGCTTACACAAGACCCTCTTTCTGGCTCAGCACTCATAGCCCATTGGTTAGGGCTCTGGCCACATGCTAAACAACAATGACAACAATAACAAAATAGCTGGGCGTTGTGGCAGATGCCTGTAGTCCCAGTTACTGGGAGGCTAAGGCAAGAGAATCACTTAAGCCCAGGAGTTTGAGGTTGCTGTGAACTGTGATGCCACAGCACTCTAACAGGGACGACATAGTGAGAATGTCTCCGGAAAAAAAAAAAAAGACCCTCTTTGTCTGAGGCTACAATCGCTATGTCACTAACTTAACCTGCATCGATTAGGAGGTGGCCTGGTGAAATCATTAAAGAGCCTGTCAACTTCTGATGCGGTCATGTAATTGTGGGGGGCACATTCCTTTGCCTCCGGGAACCTCAGTTTCTAGCTATAATTTGGCCATCAGAATAGCACTTTCCCCAAATAGCACGGAATAAATAAAATGATGCATGTTAAGTGCATAACACGGTACCTGCCTCATTCCAAGTGCTCAATAAATGTCAGCTATTTTTATTTGATGAGCAGGTAAAGCTTGTTGATAATTAAAATGAACAAATATAAAATGTCATTATGACAGACTCATCGGTTAAGGAGACACGAATCTTTCTTGTTTGCTAATCTGCAGATATCCCAGTGGGGCTGGTGTTAATCACTGTTACCATTGATTGGACTTTTATTAAATGCCGTGCTCTGTATTAAGCCCATATATATAATTACCTCATTTAATCTTCACAACAACTCAGCGAGGTAGATTTAATTATCGTTCATTTTACAAATAAGGAAACCAAGACTCAGAGAAAAGAAGGAACCTGTCTCACACCTAATGAGTGGCTTGGTTGGTTTTCCATTTCCTGGTGTATGAAGTAGTGAAAAATGTTTCAGGCTGATTTCATGAATAGCACGAGCAGACCAGATTGTCAGATGCTTGTTTGTACTGGGGAACTGGAAATTGGGATATTTGACTATTCTGTTCAGCTGCTTCAAATTATTGCCTATTATCCAGTCTTCCTAAAATAGTCCCCATCTAAATCAACAGTCTTGCAGATTCCACTCCTGCACCCGACAGGTACAGGGACAGGAGCCATATTTTAGCCACCAGCAAAATATCAAGTGTCCTTGCTACTACTATTGTGTCTGAAACAGGCGTCATCCCAGGTCTCCAGAGCTAGAGGAAACCAGAGAAGGGTATTATCCCGGAAACAGATTAGCATCAGAACGAACCCTGATCCTACAAGGAAACTGTTGCCTAGTACTAGAGGCCCTGGCAAAGCAGCTGGTGGCAGATTCTATAGCAGAATCAAGCTACAAGAATGGAGACCTAGACAGAGGAAGGTTCATTTGTCCATCCAAAAATAATTTACTAGGCACAGTACTGGGACTAAATAAACAATAATGAATGAGAAAGTTTCTGCCCTCAAGAGCAT